ACCTGTAACACCTGTCTCACTTGTAACACCTGTCTCACCTGTAACACCTGTCTCACCTGTAACACCTGTCTCACTTGTAACAACTGTCTCACCTGTAACACCTGTCTCACCTGTAACACCTGTAACACCTGTCTCACTTGTAACACCTGTAACACCTGTAACACCTCTCTCACCTGTAACACCTGTCTCACTTGTAACAACTGTCTCACCTGTCTCACCTGTAACACCTGTCTCACCTGTAACACCTGTCTCACCTGTAACACCTGTCTCACTTGTAACAACTGTCTCACCTGTCACACCTGTAACACCTGTCTCACCTGTAACACCTGTAACACCTCTCTCACCTGTAACACCTGTCTCACTTGTAACAACTGTCTCACCTGTCTCACCTGTAACACCTGTCTCACCTGTAACACCTGTCTCACCTGTAACACCTGTCTCACTTGTAACACCTGTCTCACCTGTAACACCTGTCTCACCTGTAACACCTGTCTCACTTGTAACAACTGTCTCACCTGTAACACCTGTCTCACCTGTCACACCTGTCTCACCCGTAACACCTGTCTCACCTGTCTCACCTGTCACACCTGTCTCACCCGTAACACCTGTCTCACCTGTAACACCTGTAACACCTGTCTGAACTGATTTGTGTTCACAGAGGAGTTTAAACAGACAGAAACGGTTCTGGACGATGTCTTCATGATGTGTTCAGGTACAGTTGAAGAGACACACCTGTACTTCCTGTGCTCAGCACTTGTGCTAGGAGGATATGAACTGGATCTGAAGGTGTTTCCTGATTGGCTGATTGTGTGAGTGACATCACTGCTCAGGGTTTCCATGACAACAGTGAGGTGTAAACAGGTTTTGGACTTTAACCTGAACCATTGACACGTCTGCCAATCAGAGCTGTTAATAAATAATCAGGGGGTGTGGCTTCTTTTATGTACCTGTTCAGGTGTGGACTGTCTGATTCTCAGAAACACACAGGTGAGTTACCTGGAAGCGCAGGATGATGGTCCAGATCAGACCCAGAACCAGGCGGTGATTCCCGTCCACGATGTCATGGGAGCCCATGTTCTCCAAGTGAACCCGCTGCTCCTTCAGGAACTGCAGAGCTTTGTCCACGTTCTCCAGGCAGTGGATCCGCATCCGGCCTTTGGTGGGCTTCGGCTGCGGTCACACATCAGACCAGAGTCAGGGTCAGGGCTTCCAGGGTCCTGGACTGCAGCTTCGCTGAGGGATCAATCTTGTTCCAGCAGGAACTGAACTTGAACTGCTCAGATTGAATCTGAATGTTCGTAATTTGAAATTGAATGCATTGGTTTGAAAATGAATTTTACTAAATTTAAACTGAATTTAAAGTTTTGTATCTGAATTAATTGTTAGGTTGAGGTGCAGAATGAACCCAAATCCGGACGGAGGATGAGATTTAAATAAAAGATTTATTTAAACAAACAAAACAAAGAGCTGTCAGGGCAGCTAAAATAAAACTAAAACTCTGAGGGACAACAAAACAGTAGGAGTAATCCATGTAATGATCCAGCGAGGAACGAACTGAAGAGAAAGGTATTTATACAGACAGAGGAATGAGGAAATGAGGAACACCTGGGAGCAGGACTGATTGGAGATGACTGAACAGGTGAGGATGATTAAACAGCAGGAACCAGATTGAGGGGAATGTGTGATAACGATGAGGGAACACAAGAGGGAGATAACACAGACTGACAAAACACACATCCTCACATTAATTTGCTTTGAAACTGTATTTTGGTTTATTAAAAATTCAGTTTGACTACTTTCACTTTCAGTTCCATAATTCAGATTTTTGTGTCACATCCTGGTCC